TTTAACTCAGGTCAAATGTGAATCCAACCTTCGATGAGTTGCCTAATTCAGTTGGAAAGGTGTAGACTCCATGTCGGAATAGAGTAATACCGACTACTGTTAACAAATTGCATTGTGGTAGCTTCTAGCTTTAGTATGTGCCAGTGGAAATGTTCATATCTCATTCTTGTAATGGCATATTTTTACTCCGATTGTGATGACGCTCAGAGGATTTACTCTCGTGGTACTGTTGAAATGGGTGTTCTGTCACGAATGCATTGTACTCATCCACTAAAATCAAGGCTCTATGATGAGATTATTTATTCATACAGCGAACACAAGACGAAAAGTTGGCTCCATTATTCTTATGTAATGGTGAACATAACACAATATGTATTGCTACACCTGTTTCGCCAATCCTTTCATGCATGAATAAACCTGTTTACTTTAGCATACGACTTTAAATATCTCTGTTGTGGTTGCATTGGTCCGATTGACCATGAATAAAAGAAGAGGGTTGCACGACCACAATCAATGGTTCTAAGCTTGGTTTATGCAGGCGTTTTATGTATGTACCATGTCCTACTTGGCAAAATTTCTGAAGTCTAATTGTGGACTGGTACCTACTTTTGTGGTTCCTTCATACAAAGGCGTATATGTCTGTGTAACCTTTCGGAGGGGAAGTCCTTTGGCGGAAATGATAGGAAGTTAAGTGTTTGAGTCTTTTCTCAACCACACAAGTCTTCTTGGAACCTTGTAGTAGACCGAGTTTTGAGTAAATGCGGTTACTAGCCTAGGTATTGAACATAAAGTGCCTTTTCGTCGTCTATGCTCAATGTGAAATTCCCTAACTGGAGTCGAAATACATTTGATTAAAACTTGTACTTGTTTTCTTGTTTTTGGAACCATTTTATGAGGTGGTCAGGCGCGCAGAAGTCGTCTAGGTTTCGATATTCCCTCACACAATCCTCCCTTGTGTTACACAACTTTACAATATTTTTAGTTCTATCTTGGCCCACTTCTTCAAAAGCAGCGGCAGATTTTTTGTTTCGTTATTGCACGACTGTTACTCTCCGTTATTAAAGGTGTTTACAAACATTGAAAGATGTCCAACCATCACTTTTTGCTATTCTTGAAATTTCAAATCCTAACTATTAGCTCTCTCACGCTAAAGTAGGCGTTAATAGAAGAGGTGAGGCAACTAAAACTTCAACTTAAGCTTTACTGCTATCATATGTAGGTCTTTACTTGGGTGGATGCTTCGATGTCACAATCAAAAAGCCTGCCTCACTGTGTAAGGGGTTAATGCAGTTCTTGCAGATGTCGTATTTGATGCGAATTAAATCTGTATTTTTGAAAGAGACATGATGTTGTGCAATTGAGGTCTAGGCTTCGCATGTGAATAGGTGATTGCAGAAAAAGTGACTTAGGCTGCATAATTGGAGATTCTGTTTGTCCGTAGGTGTATACCGTAGCCGATGACTACGCACATGCTGAGGCCCGCAAATCGCCTGCCCTAGATGGTAAAGTGGAGCGAGATAGTGAAGGCAAGGAAATTCGTTACCCTGTCATCCTTACACCACGTGAGAAGATTATTGCTAAGAAGGTGGCCAAGGTAGTAAAGCAGCAAATATGCGGTTTCGACCTCCTCCGTGCTAATGGCATGTCTTACGTCTGCGATGTTAATGGCTTCTCCTTTGTGAAGACGTCACGCAAGTATTACGATGACTGCAGCCACGTCCTTGGGGTCCTTATCACTCGTGTGATAGCTCCGCGACTTTGTCCGCCAGGTCTAGGGCCTTGGAACACGCCAGGTCCAGACGACGATATTCCACTCGTTCCCACGACATGTGGAACTATAATGGAGCTGCGTTGTGTTATCGCGGTCTTCCGTCATGGCGATCGAACGCCAAAACAGAAGATGAAGATGGATGTGAGAGATGATAGGTTCTTTAAGCTCTTTAACAAATATGCTGGCGGAAGAACACTGGAATTAAAGTTGAAAAAACCAACGCAACTACAAGAAGTGCTAGATATTGTGCGAAACATTCTGGAGGACATAGAGAGTGGAAAGCTAAAAAATTCTGAGTTGGAAGAGAAGAAGGCCAAATTTGAACAACTCAGGTACGTGCTTCTTTACTTAAGTCATTCTCATTTCGGTAATGGAGGGAGAGAGAGAGCGAGGGAGAGATTGATACTTCTAATTAAGCGATGCTAGCTAATGT